TTTCTTGCTTCTGCCACAAACTCCCCAGCTGTAACTCTTCCAACCTTCTAAAATTCCTTTATACGTGGTTCAGAGTCTTGGGACCATTCCCTGAGCCTTCTTGGTCCTGTATTCTGTGTTGTTATCGGCAGAGCTCGTCACTACACTTCCACCCGACCCACCGTCTTTTTCCGGAAGTCTCTTCATTTAATTTTAAGTGCAATGGAAAACCATTAGAGAATTTCAAGCAAGAGAGTGATTTGTTCAAATGATCTTTGGAAAGGCCCTTCTAGTTGCTATGTGTGTGGAAAATAAAAGGTAGACCAAAGAGTAAGCACAGAGATAACTCAGATGTCATTTAAGTATAGACCAGGTATGACATAATGGCCTAAGTCTAGGATATCACAGTGAAGAGTGGATGAATTTGGAGATTTAATTTTGAAGTAGAGCTAATAGGACTTGTTTATGACTTAGATACAGAGATTGAGGGAAAAAGGTATGAAGTATAAAGCCTAATTTGGGGGTTTGAGTAGCATGGTGTTTGGAGTACCATTTATTGAAATAGAAAAGATTGGGAGTGGAACAATTTTATGAGGGGTAGGATTAAGAGGCTGTGTTTTAGATATAATGAGTTTGAGATGCCTGTTAAACATCTGAGATCCTAGTGGAGGTGTATCATTTATGTAGTTGTACAAGAATTTGGTGCTCTGAGAAGTTTGGGCTAGTTATATAAATTTTGGAATCATTTGCAGATAGAAATTTAAAGAGAACCAGAGGGTTTCTGGTGTGGTGCTGTAGGATCAGCACTGGACTGAGAACTGCAAGGTCATCAGTTCAAACCCACCAGCTGTTCCTCAGAAATCCTATACAGGGTTACTGTGGATCAGAACTTACATGACAGCACTTTAACAACAACAACAGAGGACAATGTGGAGATAAAGAAGACTAATTAATAGTGAATTCTGAGACATTCCATATGTAAGGTTTATGGAGGGAAGGAGGACCTAACTGAAGAAAAAGTTAGTGAGGAAAAGACCCAGGAGAGTATGGTAATAAGAAGCCAAGAAAGGAGCAGACTGTGTAAATGCTTTGGCCCTTCAATTATTGGTAATTTTGAGAGCAGTTTTAGTGGAGTTGTGAGGACAGAATCCAGGTTAGAGTAACTAACCATGCAAATATGAGTCAAGAAGGTGAGAATAGTGAGTGAAGAGAATGTGTTCAAAAAGTTTTGCTTTGAAGGAAAGCAAGGAAATGGTATGATAACTAGAAGACACTGTGGGGTCAAGGAAGTAAGTGGTATGCAGATAGGAATAATTCAAATGAAGGGGAGAACTTGATGATAAAGGAAAGAGTGGTGTAGTTATGGAAGCTAAATGCTTAAAAAAAATGCAAGTGATTCCTGGAGCATACGTTTGATGGAAGCAGGGACACCATCGTCCATTGTAACAGAAGGGAAAGCAAAGAGTATTGATTCAGGTACAGGTTGGTTTATAAAGTTAATGATGGGAAGATGAGGGAGTTCCTGATGATCATGTTTGTTCTCTCAGTGAAAAATTAGATGTAATTGCCAGTTGAGTGCAGTGTGTGTGTGTGTGTGTGTGGACTTTGGGGCATTTGTGTGTGTATAACTGGGGTTGAGAGTAGGTATGATGATGGATGATGTGGGAGGGTGAGACTTAAGCCAGTAAACAAGAAACATGAGACATGGTGGAATTAGTCCTGACCAAGTCTTAATAAAAAAACAAAACAAAACCCACTGCCATTCAGTTGATTCCAACTGATAGTGACCTTATATAGGGTTTCCAAGACTGAAACTCTTTTCTGGAGTAGATAACCTCATCTTTCTCCATGGAGGGGCTGGTGGGTTTGAACTGCTGACCTTGTGGTTAGCAACCCACAGCACCACCAGGACTCCTTAATCAAGTCTTGTTGTTGTTGTTGTTGTTGTTAAGTGCCATCAAGTTGGTTCTGACCCATGGTGGTGGTGGTGGTGGTTGTGTGCCATGGAATCGGTTCCGACTCATAACGACCCCATATAGGGTTTCTGAGGCTGTACATCTTTGCAGGAGCAGAAAGCCTCGTCTTTCTCCCATGGAACAGCTGGTAGTTTCAAACTGCTGACCTTGAGGTTAGTAGCCCGATTCGTAACCACTGCGCTACCAGAGCTCCTTTCTGACCCATAACAACCGTGTATAGGGTTTCCTAGGAGCAGCTGGTAAGTGTGAACCATTCATTGACCATGTAGTTCAAAACTGACTTTGCAGTCCAGCCCATTAACCAAGTCTTAGAGGAGGGATAATCTGTTTAGTTAAAGCCCTGAATATTTAGCTCTCAGTTAGGGGAAGGGGTAAAGCAGTGGCATCCTCATGGTGGATGGGGCTCTGAAGGGTGAAGGATTCTCTTCCCTATCTTAAAGAATTGTGATGATGATTTGAATAAAAGATTGCTTTTTAAGGGATTAACATGGTACCCAACACATGGTTAAGTGCTTAGCTGGGAGTGATTAGCTGTTATTAGTTTAGGAAGAGTGAGAAGACAAATGTTTTTCCCAGTGACCTAAAGCGCCCTGGAATGAATCAAAGACTGAATGAGTAAAGCCCTGAGAGTTTGTCCTCTCATGAGAGATGAGGCCTGTTGGGGTCTTAGACTCAGATGGATGTGTTGACCTTCTAGGAGTAGAGTAGGCCAGTGGTCCCTGCCTTGTTTACCTGTGCTACCATAACAAAAAATACCACAAGTGAGTGGCTTGAGAGAACGTAAATTCATTTTCTTAACAATTCTGGAGACTAAGAGTTCCTATCAAGGTTTCAGCCATTCTGGTTTCTTTTGTGGAACGCTCCTAGTTTATAGTGGTGGTAGTGGTGGTTATGTGCCATAGAGTTGGTTCCGACTCATAGCGACCCTGTATAGGGTTTCTGAGGCTGTAAATATTTACAGGAAAACCTCATCTTTCTCCTGAGTAATGGCTGGTAGTTTTGAAGTGCTGATTTTGAGAGTAGCAGCCTGGCTTGTAACCACTATGCTACCAGAACTCCTTCTAGTATCTTCCAGCAATCCTTGGTGTTTCTTTGCTTGTACGTGGGTCCTCCCATGGCATCTACCTTCTCCTTGTGTGTCTGTTTTGCTCTTTTTATAAGGTACCACTTAGAAGTGATTAGGTTAAGACCCACCTTACTCTGGTATGGCCATATTAATATAGCATGTTGCTGTTGTTAAGTAGCGTCGACTCAGTTCTGACCCACAGCAACCCTATATAGGGTTTCCAAGGAGTGACTAGTGAGCTTGAACCATCAACCTTGCAGTTCATACCAACTTTGCAGTCCAGAGTATTAACCAACAGCAGCACACCAGGACTCTCAATACAATATGAAAACTCTTATTTCCAAACAGGATTTATATTTACAGGTCCAGGGGTTAGAACATCCACATAACTCTTGGGGGACACACAATTCAATCCATAACAATCCCTTCTTCCCCTACCTCTGAAAACTCTTAGATTATCTTTAGCCCACCTGTAGCTGGACAGTCTTGTCAAGCATAGTCCATATTTCAAATGTCCCTTTGTCCGCATCACCTTCATTCTTACCTATATGCTCATTGAACTGAAATGAGTGTTGGTGGTACAATCTTATTCCTGGTGGATGTATTCTCTCAATCTAGATAAATGGCTATGGCTTGGATTAGCTCCAGGAGTCTTTGTGAGGATACCACTCTTTAGTCTTGGGTGGGTTCCCAAGATTACAGCCATGATGGTTTTTGTCCTATCTGTCTTCTCCTTGGTGGTTGACTGAGGAAGATGGCTATCCTAGATTCTAGTCCTCAGAATCTCAAACCTGAATTGCTTTTAAGGTCTGAATGTAGCCAACCCAATTTTATGAACCACTGGACCAATAAACAACATTCTTATCAATCAAGAAAAGATTGAAGTTGTCAAAGACTTCATTTGTCTTGGATCAACCATCAAGACTCATGGAAGCAGCAGCCAAGAAATCAAACAACGTATTGCATAGTCTGTGGCACAAGACCTTTTTAAAGTGTTGAAGAGCAAAGATGTCAGCTTGAGGACTAAGGT